TGAGTTCTCAAAATTTTTAATTGCCAGTTTGAGACGATCCCGTTGTATCCTGGGAGGCTTGCGCGTATCCTGCAGATAAGTCCTTAAGGTCAGTGTCATCACATGTCTCAGGGGAATTTTAATAACGTGTTTGTTCAGTGTTTCAGGTTGCTCATAGTTGCGTCCGCCATATTTTATTCAACATTTTCACCCAAAACCCATCAAAACTTACAACCCGAAGGGACCCAACACCTACACTTGCAAGAAGACAGTCTTACCATTAACATGCAACATAGAAAACATCACAAACCCCACATGCAACAAGAAATTCGACCCAATCCATCACATTCTTCAAACAACTCAAAACCTTTCTTTCTAATTCCACAAACTCCAATTTAATCAACATGCAACCAACAATTTGCTGCAACAATACAACATTTTGTCCCAAAATCAACAAATTCTAGCTTCCTTTACCTTGGAGGGAGAAATATTCCGATTTTGAGCTCCCGGGTAAGTGAAGAAGAAGAAGAAAAAAAAAATAAATTGCTTCGGAGAGGAAGTCTAACCTTACTGCTTTCCTTGATTTTCAATAGTTCCACCTTCCAAATCAAACACTAGCACCTAGGTTTCATTCCGATGCTTTTGTGTAGATAAAAAAAATTATATTTAGTTAATAAATTGGCAATGAATGATAAACCAAGTTGCGTAAATTTAGCAAGATATATTCACATCTCAAAAATATTAAAACATGAAATTTTAGATTAAGTAATTCTTTATCCTTTATTCATCATTTAAAAGGATCTTTATTTACTTCTAACAATCTTACAACTATTGTCTAACAAATGTGATTTTTTCATAAATAACCATTCAAGTATCTTTGTCATATAAATTTCTTAATATACAAAAGTTTTGTTTGTTAAAATTTTCAAATAAGCTATATAAAAAATGTTTTAATAATTAATACACATTATATATAAATTGAGTTCTTCATAAGCTATCAAACTAATTACGTATCAAATAGTACTTGTATTCATCATAAATGTATGCCTCTTTAAAATCATATATATTTAATGATAGAGAAACTTATTCAATTTTGTTGAATAGTCTTTGTATCCTATAAATTAAACTAATTAAGTATCAAAAAGTACTTACATTTATCAATGTTGAACATGTTTCTTCAAAATCAATTTCATGTTTTTGTGATAATCTTTGAACAACAAGTTGTGCTTTATATCTAGAAATTCTATGATTCTCATTTGTGTTCAACTATTTTATACATTTAGGTGTATCAACTAAATATTAAAAAACTTTGTACTCTATTTGGCCAATCAATATTTTTTTTGGTCTATCATCATTAATGTAGTTTAGTTTGTGATTATCGTCATCATTTGCATTTACAATATTTCAATATATCTGTCTATAAATAATATAAAGGAAACAACACTTCTTTCCTCCAACAACTTCTTCCTAAATATTTCTCTGTATAAATATTATTATAAAATAGACTACTACTAAAAATAATTAAAAATAAATAAATATATCCACTACAAGAATGTTTCAATTTAGAGTCGGCCAAAAGCCGACTCTAAATCATAAAAGCCGACGCAATATTGTCGGTTATTCATCGGTTTTTGGCCGACGCTAAATAAGTCGACACAATTTATTTTGTGTCGGCTAAGCCGTCACTAACAAATTTATTTATTTTAATTTTTTATTGTCGGTTAAGCTAACACTATGTTGACACAAATTTTATTTTATTTTTTTATTTATCTTCTTTTTCTCGCTTATCATTTATTCGTTCGTATTTTTAACATTCCTGAGACTCGATCCGTGAACCTTGAGGTCTTAAGTGAACTTGATAACCAAGTGTACTAGAACACATTATGCGTATATAACATTAAAAAAATTATTTTTATCTCTCTGAAAGCACGTATATTATTTAAATATAGCGTCGGCTTTTCCGACGCTAAACTTAAAATAAATTTAAATTAAATATTTTAAGTTTAGCGTCTGAAAAGTCGACGCTATATTTAAATAATAGCGTTGGCTTTTCCGACGCTAAACTTAAAATATTTAATTTAAATTTATTTTAAGTTTAGCGTCGAAAAAGCCGACATTAAATCTTAAAATAGCGTCGGCTTTTCTGACACTATTTGCGTCAGCTATTAGCCGACGCTTATTTTCCGTCGCTTATTCAGCGTTTTCTTGTAGATAGTTAATATTTTAATAATTAATAAAGACGTGTTAACTTCTACCTTAATAATTATGCTATGCATTATAAAAAAATTATTTCCACAAAACAAAAGAAAATAATTAGATAAAAATATTTTAATATTTACTAATCATTATTAGATTTTATCTTCTAGAGAACACAATGCCTTAGCGCCGATCAACCATCTCTAAAATAATGTTGTATCATAATAGCTCAACAAAATAAGGTCATCTTCACCATGATCATCTACCAAGCATCCGTCCAACCTAATCCTACCTTGCTTCCAAAACAAATATGATTATTGTAATTTAATAACATGAAAAAATAAGGGTAAGCTTGTGAAAAAAAAATCATAATATTAAATATAAGAAATAAACGACTTATAACAATATATCCAACTCTAGTAACAAATTATCTTTTCAACAATTTTATCAATTAATCACATAATTAATTAAGAGAACTAAACATAGTGTTATAATAACCCATCAACTAACTTCTAAATATTGTGCACCTTTCCAGTACTTAGTTTGGACTTTCGTCCCTAACCTTGAACCTTACTTAATGGCCACTTATGACAAGTATGGTTCAGCCTCCACCATACTATTTCAACTGAAAAACCTAGAGAAGACAACTTAAAATAACTTTCCAATCAAGAGACATCTTACTCACTGAAAGATTTTTAACTTAGGCCTCTTTGAGCATCACAACTGGTATCTACACAATGAAATATTTTAATTTCTAAAATGACTTTCCTTTCCTTTAGTTTTTATGCAACTTCAACTTTAAAACATGCAACATATGTCTATACAACTTACAATGTATAAACTTTACTTCATACATATTCAAATAATAAACACTTACTTCATCAACTTTAACAATATACAACTTTCAACTTAATCAACTTAAACAATAGACAACTTCCAACTTAATCATCTTCGAATAGTAAATAAATTACAACTTAATCAACTTAAAACATCATCATACATTATCATAGATCAATATACAATGAAATACAATTAATCATCATCATACGTGATGTAATCAACCAACTCATCAAGATATGTTAAGAAGATTACAAGATTTAGTGTGAAATTGGTGCTTCAAGAGACATATAACTTGCTCTGAGTGAGTTCAGACAAAGAGCACCTTTGGAAAGTCAGCCCAACTTGTTAAGCGAGTGATTTCTCGCCTTAAGCTATTGAAATTCACTTCAATTGCCCCCACTAAGCGCTCTAAGCGAGCCAAGTCAAAGACTATCCCTGAAATGGTTGCACTTGTTGGTTATCGCATGAACACTTTGAGTGAGCAAGCGTAGAAAACATGCATGATCAAGAACAAGTTCAGCATCTAAAGGAAACAACTCAATCTTTTCACCCAAAATCACAAATCATGCACGCAACTTGGAATTTACCACACACTTGTATCATACAACTCATAAATTGAAGAAAATATAACATGCAACAACAACAAATACATACAAGATCATCAATTCTCCACCTTCACTAAGAAACTCCAAGAAATAAAGAACATGAAGGTTCTACCTTCAATGTTAACTTAAATGTTTTCCAAAGCATGAATCAATAGATTACAAACAACAATCACCACTTAGAAGATCATCAAACAATAAACTTCCCTTACCTTGATTGCTCTAGAATCAAGAGAAGAAAGGAAGAAAATAGAAACAACAAGCTTCCCTTTGTATAATTTTATTACTTTATCTCTTAGTTTCCACAATTAAAAATGGTACAATTTAGTCCTTACAGATACCATTTTTGTTTTTTTTTAATTATTATAATTTCATAAATTTTACCTTTTAAGGGTGTTCGGTACACCATATTTTTTTTTATCAGTAAAATATTTTCGTGTACCTAATACTCTCTTAGTTTCTATTGGAAATAAACTACATGGACTAGAAAAGAATTAGAATGATATCTATAGGAACCAAAATGGAACATTTTTAACTATAAAGATCAAAAAATAAAGTTGAAGAAATTATATGGACCACAAAGACAATTAAACCTAAATGAAAAGGGAATTATAATCTTTTAATAATATTGGAGATCTACGTTAACTAAGAATGAGGTTAGAATAATATGTATAAGAGAAGAACAATTTTCAACCTTATAAAATTGACTTATAATCTTATTTTTAATTAACATATAATCTCCAACAAATAAATTAGAAAAGATTTGGGGAATAAACATCAAAAACTATTTATTTAGTTATTAATAATTATTAATTGTTAATAAAAATATAATTAATACAAGAATATGCATAGTAACCTAATTAATTAAAAATATTAATAACAATTAATTAATATTTTATTTTAATTCATGTTAGTTAAATAAATTTTGTTTAATAAAGAAGAAAATATAATAAATATAAAATTTTTGAAGATAAAAATGTCACGTGATAAAAAAGAAAAAAGACATGAATGTATAAAAAGAAATTTATAAAATTATCTTATTTTAAAAAATAAATAAAACGAAAAATAATTTATTTTGAAATGGTTGTTTTTATAATAATAATTTTAACAATTTTAAGTTATAACCAAGGTAATTTCTTATTAATTAATAGTATAACAAATATAAGATTGTTTGGATATTATTTTAACACCGGCAATATGTAAAGATTTAGCTCAAAATAAAAATAATAAAAAATGTGCATAAACTAATTTTTATTTTAAAAACAAGGAACTCAGAATATATATAAATAAATAAAAAACAAGTAACTCAAAATTTCAAATCCCTAAGGTCAGCCAGCACAGACATCTCTTGGATAGATACAAATTTTTTTTTTAAAAGGCCAATTTGTTTACTTAAGTTGTTGAGAAGAAATAAAGAGTGTTGGTGGTACTTTCTCAGCCTCTCTCTGTGTGTCAGTGTGTGAATGTCTCAAACCACAAACACAGACAGCACAATCTTCTTACACTCAATCACACACACACAACACACAACACACAAACACCTTTCTTCTCATGTCCATGGCTGATGATAAGGGTGATAGATCATGCTCCTCCATCACCATACCCCTTCTTGTTGATGAAAAAGTGAATGGTTCAGATGAGGCTTTGGTGGCCAAAGCTTGTGATCTACACACACCTCATGCGGGTAACACCCCATTTTTCAAGACTTGCTTCCATCTCATCAATGCCCTCTCAGGTTTGCTTTGCATGCCCTCTCTTTTCATCTTGTCTTTCACAAATCTCAATCATAAGTTGCTAGCTACCATATATGATTGAAGTGCGTTTGAAATATAAATTCAAATGAGTTTCTTTTAGAGTTATTTTTTTTTAAAAAAAAAATTCTTTATTTTTGATAGCAAAGTTCTTAAAAATTCTTCTAGCTTGTATCCAACGGTGATGGTGATGTTGATGTACCTTTGTTGTCTCCTCTTTCCTTGAGTTTTGGTCTTTTTGGTGTCTTGCTTTTTGTTCTCTTTGATTTCACTGTTCGGGTCTGTTTTCAAGATGTTGTTTGTGTTGTTGCTGCACTGAAAGTATACGTTTTGGAAAATGGTAATATTTGTTAGAAATTGCACTGTATGGAGCGAGGGAAAGTGCATCTTGAGTGAGGACCTTTTTTGTCTAAAACTGTCTTAACATTTTGGACTTATAATCCTTTTACTTTACGTGTTTTAATTGCTGGAAGAGTAGTTCAAAAGTGATTTTACTTTCAAAACATCATTTTTTTTTCTCCCAATAAATATAAGTTGGAATTTCTAAAGTACTTTTCCAATTTTAATGCAAACTAGCCTAACACACCTTTGACCCACCAATCTTCTCCAACACTAGAAGGACGTGTGAAAGTTTTGCTTTTGGAGGTTTTTAAACTGAAAAAAAAAAAAACGTAATATTTTGGGTTTCTGTAATTACTTATCTATATGGAATTTAAATTTACTTTTGAAGTTTGACATATTTTTTTTCAGTACAATCTTAATTAAAACATATATTTAGAATCGTACTATATGAAAGAATCTTTTTAAACAAATTAATAAACTTTTTTTTTTTATGAACATCAGAATCATAAGTAATAAAGTATACAATTTTAGAACAGATTGTATAAAACTCTTATGTCTATTCACTTAAATGATTGTCAACCAATCAAGTTTACAAAGAATATATTTTTAAGGGAATGTTGCTCAGCTTATTTATTCAGCAGAGTGCATGAATTGATATAAATTCTTTGTCTCGAGATTTTGTTTCCTAATCTAACGTTTGCCTAATTCAATTAAATAATTTAAAAACAGTTTTAGTCTTTATTTTTTATTTTTTATTTTTTAAGAAAGGTTCAGTCAGATTTAATATAATCTCAATCAGACCGTATCTCTATTCCTACTTTTACGACATAGTTTATTAAATAATTTTATTAATAATGACAACGATAATATTTAAATTTAATGTTTTGTGTGTATTATCTCTTGGTCACTATACCAATTCAAATAATTCTTACACGATTTTAATTAGTATAAAAGGTGACGGACGACCTTATTATATATAGTAATTCCTAACTAGATATTAGATTATTTTTTTTTATATTGTTGGCTTATTCTTATTAAATTTACTAAATAATGTGATATTTTTAGAAGATTATCTTAATATTTCATAGTATTAGAGTTATTTTATAGTATTTGTTTAAGGAGATATTTTATGATAATTATTTTTATAAGGTTATTATACAACCATACTCTATAATAATGAGATATTTTTTGTTTTGAACCTAAGTTCTCACGATTTTATTTTTGGTCATTACCTAAAAGGCTTCTCAATTATTGAAGTATGTTTATGTTATATAAGTTGTTATTTCTTATCTTATTTATCGATGTGAGACTTGTTTGTATCTCAATGAATTAAATAAAATGTAAATATATTTTATTATAGAAATTTTTTTAGGATTATTCAATTTATTATTCCTATATGTATAAGCATTCCAGCTAATGTCTGATGTGGCAGTGAAAGCCTCACGTGACTTTATCGATAAAGATGTTCAAATACAGACGTTTTCCCGTCACAGGCTGGCAGCACTTAATAGCGCCTCCTCATTAGTTAACATTCAAATACTCTGAATTTTATCCAACTGTCGATGTATTTTTTTAATCAATACTTTTAAATTTTCTTAATCTTCTACTTTCTTTCATTGGAATTGTCGAATGTATCTTATATTTTTGAGATACTAAATATATTTATTTTTCATTTAATATTTTCTTTTTAATTTAGTTGAACGACTTTTAAGAGGGTGGAATACGATGGTATATTTTTAAGTGATTTTTAAAAAAGTGATCAAACTTACTATGACATTTTATAATCAGATGAATGTGTATTGACAGTGTTAATATTTTTTATTCTAGCATCTAATAATTTTAATATTGACAGCGTAATCACAGTTTATACATTTGTCGATCTTTACATTACTATTGCAATAAAATTAAACTTTTTAAATTATACACACTGTGTCACTATGATGTAAAACTTTTTATACGAGCATGCATAAGAATTCAACCTATCACCACGCTGTAGTTGAGTTATGAAAACTTATATTTGTAACATTAATGTATGGTGCTATGGTTTCAGGAGTTGGAATCATATCAATGCCTTATGCTCTGGCATCTGGTGGATGGTTAAGCATATTTCTTCTGTTTGTGATTGCCATTTCATGTTGTTACACGGGCATGTTGGTGAAAAGATGCATGGACATGGACCCTGATATTAGGACCTTCCCTGACATAGGTCAACGTGCATTTGGAGACAAGGGAAGGGTGATTGTATCAATTGCCATGAACTCTGAGCTCTATCTAGTTGTGACAGGTTTTCTGATCTTAGAGGGTGACAACCTTAACAAGCTAGTGCCAAACGTGGAACTTGACCTAGCAGGGTTAACATTTGGTGGCACAAAAGTTTTCACTGTGGTTGCTGCCCTTGTTATTTTGCCTAGTGTTTTGTTGGAGGATTTGAGCCTGCTGTCTTATGTCTCTGCTAGTGGTGCTTTGGCTTCTTCCATTTTTCTCCTCTCTTTGTTTTGGAATGGAACCATTGATGGCACTGGCTTTCATGCAAAGGGAACTTTGTTCAGATTTAGTGGAATACCTGCTGCTGTTAGTTTGTATGCCTTCTGCTATAGTGCTCATCCAATCCTTCCTACTCTCTACAATTCCATGAGAGACAAAAGCCAGTTCTCTAGGGTAAGTACAAAGAAATTTTGCAACTCTTAAATGATTTAGAAATGCTCAAGAGTTTCTACAAAGTTTAATGACTTAAGTCTATTTGGATACAAGTTAAAAATGCTTTTAAAAACTTTTCTGCTGAAAATAAAAAAATATTTTTTAATAAAAAAACTCTCAAAAACACTTTTAAACTTATATCCAAACAGATTTTAAAAATATATTTGGATCTCAATCCATGTTTAGACACACGTTACAAAAGCAATTAATAGTTGCTTTTGCATGCATGAGATGTAGATTGAGGACACCCAATCAAACACATTATTAGTGATTTAGTGTCTAAAATTACATTGAAACATTAGTTAACGTGATTTTAAGTAAATGTTCACATGTTTGATATCGGATTGGGGAATTGATTTTTGGTCTAAAAAAGTAAATTTTGGGTTGAAACAACGTTGAGTAACTTTTGCATTAAATAAAAAAATTTATTTCAAGTTTATAATCTTACATCAAAATCAGTTTTGCAAATGCTCACTCGAACATCAGCATTTAAGTTTACATTATATCTTTTCTATAACCACCTTAATAAGCTTATTTTAATAGCTTTGAGCTTGTTATGTGAACTCTCATGTAATAATTAAGTTACCCAAATTGAGTTATTAGCAGCTGATTGGATAATCTTCTCCAACACTTATAGGAGAAAAAAAAATGTAATTAACTTATATATAAATTAATTTGTAGAAAGTCTTTCACATTAGTTTCTTTAAAATCTTTTTGTTTAACTCAAGTTTAAACTAATTTTAGCTTATTGAGAAGTTCATTTCATTTTTTTCTTCCTATTTTCTTCTTCTATAAGTACATCCGGAGAAATTTATCCAAAAGTACTCTTAATGACAAATGGGTTAGTGCTTCATCATGTTCATGCTTTGGCTCGTAAACAGTTAGGAATGGTGTGAATTCCTCTGTTTTGGCAGGTGCTGTCTGTATGTTTTTCAGTATGCACCCTTGGTTATGCAGCAGCTGGTGTGTTTGGCTACTTAATGTTTGGACAAGAGGTTGAATCTCAGGTGACACTGAACCTCCCAACAAGCAAGTTCAGTTCACACGTGGCAATATTCACCACCTTGGTCAACCCTATAACAAAATATGCATTGATGATCACACCAGTCATAAACGCCATAAAAAACAAGGTTTCATGGCATCACAACAAAAGGTTCACTCACATGCTTGTTAGTACCACAGTGCTCATTAGCACTCTTATTGTAGCAGTGACAATTCCCTTGTTTGGATATCTCATGTCACTAATTGGGGCATTGCTTAGTGTCTCGGCTTCAATTTTGGTGCCATCAGTGTGCTACTTGAAGATTTCAGGAGCTTACAAGAGATTTGGGTCTGAAATGATCATCAACTATTCAATAATTGTGATGGGGGTTGCTATTGCTATTGTGGGTACTTATACATCTCTTGTAGACATAGTTCATAATTTGTAAGTGTTGATGGATTGGACACTCCATTTGGAAGCTGCTATAATCGAAACTTATGGTGTAGAGTAAGTGCATGACTTTATTTCTTTGTATCCGAATGTCTAAAGATGTGCTTCTCTGTATCAACATTTTGTGAGGCATAATCTTTGTCGGGTATGTGTTTTTATCATTTGAACATGTTTAGGAGATTGTTTTGTTGCAAGGGAGGAATAAAAGAAAAAAACTAAAAATCGCACTTGTTTCTGATGAACTAATACTGTGTATGTAGTTGCTTGATTTTTAAGACATGTTCAAAATCAACGAGGCTATAAGGTTAGATATAAATGAATAGCGAGTTATACTGCTACCAAGGAAAGACCAAAATTTACATGTTGTAATGATTAAAAAGAAATGATTTTACCAATAAGGTACTACCACTATGGTATTGGTAGGTTGAGAGAAAATACACGAGAACTTAAAAAAATCAATGAAGTTAGATCTCATTGAAAAGTCCAAAAAAAAAAAAAAAAGCCAAAAGAAGTAATTAGTTAAATACTTTTTTTTTTCATTTCAAAATTGTCTAAAACTTTTATGGGCCACTCAGCCCAGGTCATGGATCGGCCCTATTGATACCGTAACAGCCCCATTGAGTACTGGACAATGTGTTGCGCAATGATTCCTAAGAGCTTCAACAGAAATTGGCTTTCTCAAGGCCTAGATGGTTTTAATCGGCCCATTGTTTTGCGGTTTCCAACCAGGTCCACTTGTTCTGTTAGACTTTCCAAGTATTTTTTTTTCCTTCATAAAAAAATATCGCTACTTTTCATCAAATTGATTCTTATAAAACTAAAGTAATATTTTTAGTTGTGATTATAGGTTCAAGACATAGACCAAACCTCCATAATTATTTAAAAAGTATAAATATCGAACCAACTGAATTAATAATTTTTAAATTTAATTTTAATAAAAAATGGGACTAATTTAAAAGGCGAAAAAATATAGATGAGTAAATATTTCAACATAATATAAATAAATATTCATATAAATAAAAAATTAAGACAAATTAAATAAGTCGACATATTAGTTCTTAAAATTAAAATTACCTGTGTTTTTTTTAAATAAATAAATGAATAATAATTGAAATTAAAAAATGTCCACTTTTGAACTACTTAGTGTTTGATCATCTGTCAATATATATGAGTTGCATTTTAGTGATGTTAAATTTAAAAATAGTAAAATATATTAACCCAAGAAATTTTTCTAATAAGAAAATTCTCCAGCATTGATCGGATATTCGTAGGAACAAAGATAACATCTTACATAAATATTTTCCTTCCTCGGACTTTACCAATAAATGATCGAATTATGAGAAAAATATACTAGTTTTTTTATATAATAAATAAATAAATTTTATAGTTAATTATAACTAAATAAGTAGGAGGTTACACAATTTTATTTTACACATTAATAACTAATTAATAATGACTATCTATTTCAAAATTGTTAAGTGGAAATTAAGTTTCAAATTTAAGTCTTATATCCTATTAAAAATGACTTACAAGATTTTTTTGACAAAAATAATGTTATACAATAATAATACATTCTTTGTACGAAATCAACTCTGTAATATATATGTAGGTAAAAGACCTTGTTTTTTTTAGGTTAAATTATATTTTTAATATTTTATTTTATTTTTTAAATTTATTTTGATCCTTTATTTTTAAATTCGAAACGATTTAGTTATTTTAAAATTATGATTATTTTTAATTTTAAGATATAATTTTAAATTTTTCTTAAGATTTGAAACTTGTTATTCACTGATATTAAAATTATTGAACATAATTGAAATTCAAAAAAATTGTTATAACCATGATGAATTTCGTTTAAAACTAACTTAAAAAGCAACCAAAAAATTTAGAAAACCTTATTTCATAATATTTTCTAATTACACGTTAGGATATATTTTTCACACTATTTTTATTATGTTTATCACTCTTTCATATTCGAATGTTAATTGAATTTCATATTTTTTATATAAATAAATTTAATATTACAAATTTTACCTTTTAAATTAATTAAAAATTATCCAAAACTATATCGCAAAACTGAAAATAATGATTGTTTCAAAAAGATCAAATCAATTTAAATTTAGTAGATAAAAGATTAAAAAAAACATATAAAAGGTCAAAATAAATTTATAATATAAGATAAAAGTATAATTTAATCTTTTCTTTTAAGGTTTTGCTATATTAATGTCAAAGCATCGCTTTGAACTGTGTAAGCTTGTTACTTATTAGGAAATTAGGGTTTTTCGAGCTTATAGCAATAAATCTAAACTAAACTCGATTGTGATTACAACATTGATGTATGATGGAAGCATGAACCCAACCACGGAATGCATGCACTCTATCGACTATTTAATCGTCCATTCTCCAAAGCACAATGAAGAAGATTTAGAAGCAGTTGAAGTTGGGTATGATGTGGAGATATAATTCAGTGTCGCATTCGGAATAGGTTACATACTGTTTTCTGCTAAAACAAGGAGGTTGTCTTGTCTATTTGCTCATCTAGGAGACAAACCTAGGCCCACTTTATGTCATGAACATGACTCTTTGTATATTAATTAATTAAAAATTATTATTTATAATATTAACAAAAATCACTTAACACTAAAATAAATTAATTTTTGATTGTCAACTTTAAAATACTTTATAGATCATATATATGAGATAATTAATGTGTACTATATGAACATGTCTATAGATAAAAAAAAAAAAAAAACTAATTATAATTCAAAGAGAAAAAATGAGATAATAAATGATACAATATAAAAAGAGATATACAGAAAATATTGTTATATAAAATGTTAAATGAATAATGCAAGTCTTGTACAAGGCTACAAATATTCAGAGGAGTAAGAGTTGTTGTATTTGGCAGCTCTCACCTGGGGACATTTTAAAGTGCACACATGTTACATTATATACGTAATTGAGTTCTATATCTAGAAACATATGAAATTAATATGTACCAAAAATGCAGAAGAAGAAGAAGAAAAAAAAAATTTCATGGGGACAGCATATTCAACATAACAGACTTTATGGCTTTAAAAATTTGACATGAGCATCTTAACAGACTCCACAGTTATAGTGCTAGCTTACTCAAAGTTAATGTATATGGTGGAGCATCAAATTCTTGGTAATTCTTATGTCATTGTGAAGTTGGCTCTTCGACATTAAAGAAAGTTGAAATAGTATAATACTACATATTGTGGCCCCAAATGTTGTTCTTTAATTTATCAGTTAATTCACTTAGCCGAAATTGGTGATTGAAGAAAGACATTCTTAACTCGATCTTTTGCCTAGAACAATTTTGTTCTTTGGAAAAAATGTTGAAGGAGGAGTACTAATGAATGATAAGTCACCATTTTCTGGCGTCACATTCATAGAAGATTGGATATCGTTCTCCCTCATCTTTTTTCTTATTCTTTAATGGAGTGTTACTGTTACACTCAGACACCCAACCCCAACATCTTATTCGTACTTGTCTTTCACGCCATGACTTTGTTTAGTGGATATGGATGATAAGCATTTCGTTTCAGTGTAAAATCAACTAGGTGTGCCTAGTTCTTTTTTCAATTAGTTTAAATATATTTTTAGTTAACATAAAATAAATAAATTTTGATTTTATTTTATGTTAAAAAAGTTTATTCATTTTTATTTCTCTAAAATTTGAAATTATTATTTTAGTTCTATCTATTATGCTTTTTAACTATTCGGATTTTTTTTAAGTGATTATCCTAAGTGATATCTATAATTATTTATGATATCATGTTAGCATATCCCTTCTAAAAAAATATATAGGTTCTTAAAATGAATGGTATTTATTAAAATGAATGTTAGGTATCAAAAATAGTGATTTTATATTTTTAAAGATATTGAAATTAAAGAAAAATATTTTATATGGATCATAATTAATTTTTTTTAATCTTTTAAATAAGGACAAAAAATAGTAATTCCAAAGTATTTAGAGATGAAAAAATAATTATAGAGACCAATATTAGAACACTCATTTCATGAAAACAAAAACCACATTTAACTTTTTTTTTTATTATTAACAAAATTTATCTTCAACTTTAATCGACATATTTGACTCATATGGAATCTATATAAATCTGATTTATTATTCGTTTTGTTGTTTATGTGAGTCTCCGAGTTTTATTCTTGAAATATATCTTCACATGTTAAAAACAAAAATGTTTATAAATTATTTTTTACTTTTTATTTTATTTTATTTTATAAATTGTCCTTGACCTTTACTCTTAAACAATATGATTCTTTTTTTGTATTTCAAGAGGATTAGCTATTGTAATTGTTGAGAAGTATCTTTCTAAAGTCTTCAATCCAAAATTCTCAATCTTCAAGATTACAACTAGTAGTTGTACTTGCAAAAAGAACTTTGATGCCTAAGTTAGTAAATGTGTGTTCGAATATATTCTTTCTAGTCAATGTACCTTTTAAAGATAAAATGCAAATATATATATAGATGGGTAGAAAATGTTATCATTAAAGATCTAGTTTTTTAAATGCATTCAAGACTTTTTATTATTATGTAACGCTCAAACATTACTTTCTGCAAGATTTGATTATAAAGAAATGTGTCTAGTAAGTTGAACACTCTTGAGTCTATGGAAATATTATGTCTGATCTAGATGAATACTATTGAATATTTGTTATACTTACAAATATATCCTTGATGTAAGGTTAAGAACTTATAAGTATTCGACATAATAATTTGAGACTTACCTAGTACAACTACAAATTGAGGTTAAGTAGTTAGACTATTAGAGTGCTTTGTATGTGAACCACTTATACAATCAAATCCCTCCTTTTAGCGATAATGTTTTTGCTATAAATTTTTTGTATTATTAGATTATTATATTCGATATATTGCTCATTTTATACACTTTATATAATGTGTATCTTTATTTTATCTTTAAAAAAACATATCAATATGTCAAAATTATCTTTACACTTAATTCTTAAACAATGAGTTTTATTTTTTTACTTTTTTATCTAAACAATCATGATACAAACAATGGTTGTTATTGAGTACTAAAAGCACCCAATTACGTGACTTCGGGCAATATCCTAAAACTTTGTAAGTTGAAAGGTTATGTCTCTTGCATGCTTTTAGGTGGATCAAGAAAACATATAGAAGAAAGTTCTTGATACTCCAATCACATGATACATATGTGGAGGTGTGGACCTCTTCAAATATCTCCCACCCTTACAAAATTAGATATCAAGTTAGCCATCACCGTAAAAGTTAGGCTTAACATCATAGGT